AGAATTTCTGGGACAAAAAAGGGTGCAGTAACAATATTTTTTGTTTTTAAAAAGCAGTTTTACAGCGAGTCCCAATTTTAAAGGGGAACTTTGTGACGGAAAGGAGGAAAGAGGGCTAAATATCTGAGAAATTCTTACAGAACTTCTTAAAATCCTACCATGCCTAGGAACTTTGAAAGATTTCCTATCATGGGGAACTGGAAAATTTTTTTAAATAGAAAATTTTTTAGCAAGTTTAGGTGAAAATTTACCACAAACCATTCAGGGCCTAAAAAAGGATATTTGGCCTGCCAAGGAAATTTAATAAATTAACTGTTAAAGGGGAAAACCCTTTAAAAGGGTCTCAAAAAGAACCTTAATTAAGTGGTGTTAACCCAATACAGACACCACAACAATATCATCTAGGTAGCTCCCGTGCCTTAAAGTCCTTTAATAGCCTGAGGGATAATTTTTTCGGAATAAAAGGGGGAATTTTTTCATTCCGAAGGGGTAACTGTGTTTTGATAAAACCTCCTGGAATTCAAGGAGAGACTTCCTTCCCCTTTACCGTTAAAGGTACCTAAGAAACCCTTTTTAAGGAGATCTAATTGACAAAAAAGAGCCTTCCCTGATTCATTACCTTTGAAATTGTGATTCATTCCCTTTTGAAATTTGGAATTCATTACCCTGTAACTTGTCCACCATAAAAACTTTGGGGCCCATCCCGGGCCCCATTAGTACCCTGAAAATTTTTTGACTACCGCCCCAGGAGGGAGGGGGGTTGCATAAAAAAACATTTTAAAACTTAAAACTAAACCAAAAAACAATTACTCATCCAACGGGGAAGGGGGTAAGCATCGAAAATTGTGCCCCTCATTCCCCTTTACGGTTCTGTACACATACAAACCCCCCACACCTTCTTCACAAGGATGCACGGTGAAGCCCATGGACAAACCCTCCACAAAACCCAGCTTTACAAAAATTCTACTTCCTCTGAATACCTCTGCTTTTCAGTTTACTCTGTAGGGGAGAGTTTAATGGTTTAGAGTTTCCCACATCTACACATAAAACCCAACGTAATTTTTTCGGCACATCCAAAAAAATTAATATGATGTAAAACCCCTTTAAAAATTTTTGTTTCGTTTCAATAATCCCTCCTTTAAAGGGGCTGGGACCTTGAGGAGGACAGAATTGAAAGTTTAATATTAATTCGAGATAGAGTGCAGAAATCAAGTCTCCTAAAGGGGTAGAGTACAAATCATTACGGGACTTTATCTGGTGTATAAAAGATTTAAAAATTAAAGTGTAAAAATTTTAGTTTTTGAGGTCTTAAAGGGGAGAAACCCATAATTAACATCAATAATTCCTACAACTGATAGTCCCGAAATCACCCAAAGGTGTGGCCTTTTAAGGCCCTGCCCAAAACACCTTGTCCCGGGAGGGAAAGGGAGCTATTTTTGCACTTCTGTAAACCTCTGTTTCATCTTACTTTGAGCTGTCTTTAGTTAGCCTTGGCAAACTGAGGGCCCAAAACCCCTGCAACCTTGAAACGGGTTGTAGGTTTTAAACTAACTTTTCTCCCACCACCTTTCTTTGAGCACCCAAGAGGACCTCGACTTTTGTGCCCAAGATCACTAAAAGGGACAAACCCCTGAACCCTTTTTTACCGCTCTCGTATTGAAACAGCAACAAATAGTGAATCACCCCCAGTCTGTTGAAATGCATGCAAAAAATTCTCATCATTTTTTTTTAATTCTGATGGAATTTTTCCAAGGCGCCTTGGACTGAGGATGATAGGCAGGGTAAGTTGTGGTTTATCCAACCTAGTTAATATTTCTCTAAATGCTTTGGGCAGTAAGTTAGTCCTTGATCATTTTAAATATTTTTTTAGAATCCCAAAAACAAAAATGAATTTGGTTAAAGCTTGGGAGAATAGTTTAGTAAATACGCGCATGGGAATTGCTTCGGGATATCTGGTTACTTTTATCCATAATCGTAAAAAATTTGATTTCCCCAAATTTGACCTAGGAGTGGGAAACCCAACAAACTATAATTAAATCTGCAAAAGGTTCCCACACATAAGGTTGGAAGGTGCAGGGTTTTAAAAAAATTCCAGGGTTTTCCCACTTGCTGACATTTTCGGGAACCCCAATATGATTTTTCACCTTCTTTAATTTTGGCCAATAAAATTCTTTTGTGATTCTATACAAGGTTTTTCAATTCCCAAGTGACCTCCAAGAAGTATTATGGCTATATTTTAAAATTTGAGGGCTAAACTTGGTTGGGAACCCCTAACCTGTCAACAATTGCAGGCCCCCTATCTCCTTACCAGTCCAGTGCAATCAAATAATCGTTTTTTTTAAATTTATACTTTACCGGTTACCCAAAGAGGTTTACCCATGGGTGCCTGAAAACGATTTTAAAGAAGGGTCCTTTCGTTTTCCCCCAGAAGGGCAGTCCCCGGGCATGGAAAAAAGACATCTGCAAACCTCAACCTGGGAAAGGGAAAGGCTTAATCGGGGTCTGTTCACTTGATTTTCGAGGCTCCGCCGGGGGTCCTCATAAAACAACTGCTATTCGAGATCGAGTCGCCCCAAGGGAAAGGGCAACATTCCTCCAACAACCCTTGGGGTGTTGCCCGAGTTTGGCCAACACCGAAAAAATTAAATCCCTTATAGGGTTTAGGGCACGCCTAACATATTATGTTATTAAACCCCTAATAACATGGCATCTTCTGGGAAAAACCTTTGAGACACCTAAAGTCAAGTACGCATGTAATATTTGCCTTACAAAATTTTAGCAAAGGAACAGAATTATGCCCCCAAATGCTTCCAAAACACAGAGGAAATTTAAGGAAGTTTTCTCTAAAAGGGGGGGAAAATTTTCTCTTACAAAGGGGCAATATGCCCATATCTCTAAAGGGTTTTAATCATGTTTCTGAGTTTTCCTGAAGGGAAAAAGACTCTTCAATAATAAAGGGGCCTACCTATTTCTACTCTCTAGGGGGCATTTACAGGGGTATTAAGGTTTTCCGAAGGGTTGGGGGTTTTTGGGGGGAGTTGGGCGGATGTTACCCACTTTGTTCAAAGGGAAGCAGATGACAGGGTTGCCCTTTATCCCTGCTGACGTTCAAATGGTGTCGTTCTGGCTGATGTCTCCTGGATACGTTTCGAGATGCACCAGAATTTTCCTTCTGCAGGTGGACCATATGTTAAAAAGCGGGCTCACCAGGTGACTTTGTTGGGTACTAGACGTTTCCCTCCGGGTGGGACTTTTATTCTCCAAGGTTGACATCCTGCTCATTCCCGGGTGTTGAAAAAGAGCGGACCGCTCGGACAAGGACGTTATTTTTGAAGGATCAGCCAACCCGGCGCCCCCCAATGCAGGGTTAAGTCACGCCTGAAAAGACCGACCCGGTCCCACAGACTCCAGCGGTTACAACAGAATAAGCGTACCAGCTCCTCAAAAAAGACACCCTTCTTTATACCCCTGGGAAAAGCTTTGGTTTTTCTGTCTCCAAAATCCACGGGGATTGACCAGCTTCGTCTGCCCAATTTTAAAAATTTTTGTATTTGTGGGTCATTTAAGCCCCCCCCCCCAAAACTGTGGGTTTCACTACTTGATAATCAAAAAATTACATCATTTAATACTGACGTAAAATTCCCGTGCCTTACCAAACAATGCTGTAGAACCAACGATGCTCAATCTGTTCGGCCACCTCAAGGGCCGAGCCTGATTTTCGAAGCTTTCGAAAAATTGTTTTTGGGTTTGCCCCATTAAGCGGGAACAAGCGCCTGCTTTTTGTTAACTAAAAAATTTCAGAAGCGAAAAAGCCCCCTTTTCCCTTTTCCCATCAAATTTTTCCCTTGCAATGCTCCTGTTCCCTATTTGCTCAAAATTATTTTTTCCACCAATGCCAAAACGCATTCACCTTTAGACAACCCACTCACTAAACTGACCATTTGCCCATAATTTATAACTTCCTCCTGCGAGAACATAGAGTTTTTGCAAGCTCCCATAAGGAAGGAGCTGATGTGCCATCAAAATTTTTTCATAATTTGCAGCAATCAGTGAACGCAGTTGCACCCCTGGAGGTCGTTTGTAATTAATCCCAAAGAACGAGCAAATTTTCCAAAACACGTAGGGACATTTTTGTAGGTTTTGCAAATATATCCGCACCAACTCTGACCCCGTCAGGGGGCATAAATAATCGCTATGCACAGTACACAAAAATACCCCCCCAAAGAACATTTAATTTGCAGGACACGCTTATTATGCACATTTTCATTGCAGAATACCCCCAAAGTAACACTTAATTGCAGGGCAACCTTAGCTATGCACAGTACGATTGCAGAAAACGCAAAAAACAAAGCCATTGAAAAAACCCAAAATTTGTAAAGCAATCCAACACCACACTGTTCTAGAAGATAGCGACGAAGTGAGCACCCGAACAAGCTAGAAAAAACTGTTTAGCGATTACACATAAAACAAGGCTGACCAAACGAACTACACGCAAAATTTGTAAAGTGTAGCAAAGCAATGCAATGCCAGAAAGAAAATGCCAAGTTTCCTCACGGCTTCACCCAAGCTCAAAAACCCTTCTCTAAATCCAGCTCCCGATCCCAGACGGCCCCCCTATTACAACCCGAATCCAAATGGCCTGTTATCCCAGGTGTAAAGGGAGCAAAATAAACACAGCAGAAAAAGTTTAGACTTTTTAAACCTTTACAATTTTAAACAGCAAATTCCTATGTACATATAATATAGGCACTCCATGAAACAAGGAAAATGAACCACAAAAAAGCAGACGTCTTTAACCACTCAAAAGGGAAACAAGGGGAAAAAAGGAGTTGGGGACCCACAAACCTCTGCGATTGCCAAAACCACTTCTTAATGGCTAGAACCGGGCATTAGTTGAACACGGGGCCCCATCATCCTCTTAGCAACCTGTTCGCTGGATTGGGGGGGATAGCCTGTAAATTAGGGTGGTACTTCCCGAAATAAAAATTAATACTCTTTGCATGCCACGGGTGGGATGATGAGCATAGTGGAAGGGTTAACATGTGGGGGCATGAGAGCATATGGTGGAGTGATGAACATGGTGGTGGGAGATACATAGTGGGGTAGTGATGAATTGTTTTTGGTAACAATGAGCATGGTGGTTGTATGAGAGCATAGTGGTTATGAAGAACATGGGGTGGTATGATGAGCAAAGGTGGGGTAGTGATGACAGGTGGTGGAAAAGAAGGCATGGGTGGTCGTGTGAACATGGGGGTGGTATGATGACAGGTGGTGTAACGATGAGCATTGGTGGTTGTATGACTGGGTTGGGAGGATGACAGGGGGTGGGCGTGATGAATTTGGGGTGGGATGATGAAAATGGTGGGTGTAGTTGACATGGTGGGGTAGCGATGAGCAGATGGGGTAGTGATGACATGGTGGTGGTATGATGACATGGTGGTTGGGGAGGGGTAGCAGGGGGTGGTCGTATGAACAGGTTTTGGTAGTGAGAACAGAGGTGGAACGATAAACATGGGTGGTATTTATGACATGGGGTGGGGAACAACATTGTGGTGGGAGTGATGACATGGGGTGACGATAGAAGGGGGGTAGTGATGAGAGGCGGGGAACAGAGCATGGTGGGGAGTGATGACAAGTGGTGGTATGATGAAAATGGTGGGGGGCGTGATGAGCAAATGGTGGAGTGATGAACATGGTGGTGGCGTGAGAAACTAGGGTGGGATGATGAACATGGGGGGCATGAGAGCATAGTGATGTATGATAACTTGGTGGGAACGATAGCATGGTGGGGGGAGTGATGAGCATAGTGTTGCAGTGATGACAGGTGGGGGAACGATGAGCATTGTGGTGGAGTGATAACATGAGTGTAATGAGAGTATGGGGTGTAGCGATGAGCATGGGGTGCAGTGAGTATGATGGGGGGTGACAATGAAAATCTGGAGTTTCAAGAGCATGTGAGGAGGATGAGTATGATGGGAGGAGACATGGGGGTGGTACGATAGTATGATGTGGGGAATAACAAGATGGGGGTAAGAGACATGGGCTGGGAGGGAAATGATTATAATTCTGGGGGGGGAAAATACGGCTGTTTACATTTCCCTAGATACCTACTATTGGGTTTTCCCTTGATCATTTCCCCCCGTACCTGACTAAGTTTTTCCCTTTTCAATTCCCCAAACCTATATGGGGTTTCCCTTTATCATTGGCCCAGATACCTGATATGTTTCCTTGTCATTGCCCCCGGGTACCTGACTATGGTTTCCTTGATCATTGCCCCAGGGTACCTGACTAGGTTTTTCCTTTACATTGCCCCAGGAACCTTACATGGGTTTTCCTTGAAAACATTGCCCCGGGGTACCTAACTATGGGTTTTCCTTGATCATTGCCCCAGGATACCTGACTATGGTTTCCTTGACATTGCCCCCGGGAAACCCGACTATTTTTTCCTTATCAATTTCCCCAAACCTGACATGGTTTTTCCTTGTCATTGCCCCCGGAAACCTGACTAGGGTTTTCCTTTATCATGGGCCCCGATACCTACTATGGTTTTTCCCTTTACAGCCCCAGATACCAACTAGGGGTTCCCCCGATCATTGTCCCAAAACCTACTATGGTTTCCTTATCAAGCCCAAACCTGACTAGGTTTTTTGATCTTTTCCCAGATACCTACTAGGTTTTTTCCTTGATCTTGCCCCCGAAAAACCTACTATGGTTTTTTTGATCATTGTCCCAGAACCTACTAGGTTTTCCTTTATCATTGCCCCCAGGGTACCTGACTATGGTTTTTCCTTTATCAAACCCAGATACCTGACATGGTTTTTCCCCCTTTATTTTCCCAGGAACCTACTATGTTTTTCCTTTTTCAATTCCCAGGGGGAAACCCGACTATGGGGTTTTCCTTGATCATTGCCCAGATACCGACTATGGTTTTTCCTTTTTCCCAAGTCCCCCGAACCTACTATGGTTTCCTTTACATGCCCAATACCCGACAAAGGTTTTCCTTATCATTTCCCGAACCTGACTATGGTTTTTCCTTACATTGCCCCAGATACCTGACTAAAGTTTCCTTGATCATTTTCCAGGATACCCGACTATGGTTTCCTTGATCATTGCCCCAGGATACCTGACTATGGTTTCCTTGATCAATGTCTCAGGATACCTGACTATGGTTTCCTTGATCATTGTCCCAGGATACCTGACTATGGTTTCCTTGATCATGGTCCCAGGATACCTGACTATAGTTTCCTTGATCATGGTCCCAGGATACCTGACTATGGTTTCCTTGATCATGGTCCCAGGATACCTGACTATGGTTTCCTTGATCATTGTCCCAGGATACCTGACTATGGTTTCCTTGATCATGGTCCCAGGATACCTGACTATGGTTTCCTTGACCATGGTCCCAGGATACCTGACTATGGTTTCCTCGACCATGGTCACAGGATACCTGACTATGGTTTCCTTGATCATGGTCCCAGGATACCTGACTATGGTTTCCTTGATCATTGTCCCAGGATACCTGACTATGGTTTCCTTGACCATGGTCCCAGGATACCTGACTATGGTTTCCTTGATCATTGTCCCAGGATACCTGACTATGGTTTCCTTGATCATGGTCCCAGGATACCTGACTATGGTTTCCTTGACCATGGTCCCAGGATACCTTACTATGGTTTCCTCGACCATGGTCCCAGGATACCTGACTATGGTTTCCTCGACCATGGTCCCAGGATACCTGACTATGGTTTCCTCGACCATGGTCCCAGGATACCTGGCTATGGTTTCCTCGAGCATGGCCCCAACAGCCCCGGCTCAGAACATGTACCTCCTTTTTGACAGCGTGATGAGCGAGGGTGATGGTTCCCGCTACATGCATTCAAGCGTCAGCATCACAACCTAGCTGATCAAACACTTTCTTCAGAAGCTTGCCAGTTATATTAAAAAAGAGTCCTAAAGTTATGCGGATTATACAGTGCTACGTTGAGGTGGTGTACACGGTGGGGATTATAGAAGCTAAGGGTTACTGCGAGTACAAAATGAGAATCATAGCTGGTGCAAGTAATCAGAGTGAGTCTGCGTTAAACGTGAAATTTTCAGAGATGAGGGCAGTTAGTGATCATGTCAGGAAATCGAAAATACCTAAAGCGACATCTGTGTGATCATTGATAGAGAGGACAGTCCATTAATATATGGTGAACTGATAGCATATCCTTGCACCTCAGAGAAAGGCACCTGAGAGCATGGTTTCCCGCACATAGTAGAATTAAACCTAAAATGACCAGGAGCACAATTGCTGCTAGATAATTATTACTGGGTATCCCGAAAGGAGTAGCTTCGAGAGGTTGCCTGATTTTTTTTCTTCTGCTTTCTCACAACTTGAGAACGTTTCATCCAATCAGCTTTCAGTTTTCAACACTTATACGGTAACGGGGACCAATTTCTTGGAACAATTGGTATGTTCAGGTGCCCTATGACCAAGTAGTTCCAACATACAGGAATGACTAGGAAAACTTCCGAAATCCTCATTAATATTGCTCCAAACATGACAAAGAATACGACGACAACGGAGAGTGATATTCGGAAGTGTAGATGCAGATTTGACGATTTTATTTTTAAAATAGTGAAATTTTTATTCTTGTTCAATCACATTAAATATATTTCAGTTTATCTCTTCAGAACAGCTGGTTCTGAAGAGGTAAACTGCTGGTGCATCTTAGGTCCAAGATAGTACCAATTAATTCTCGTTTGTCTGCAAGAAAATGTGTTGACACAGTAAAAAAAAAAACTTGAAATCGTTCTAATCCGTAATATAACTGGAGAATGATTCATCTGTCGGCTTCCAATTTTATTATCTCTGATGAGTTTCGAGAGTCTTTCTGCTCCCAGAGCCCAGCCATGGGCCAGGCTCGTCTGGTGCTAGCCTGGCCAACCAGGCTGTTGCTGCTGGATATTCACAGCCCCATATATCCATCACAGCCTGGTTGATCTGTCACCTGGTGAAGATACTTGTCCAGTTTCCTCTAGAAGAACTTTTCACTTGTTCCAGCAGTGTTTCTGATATTCTCTGGTAAGATGTTGAATAATCTGAGGCCACAGATTGTTGATACAGTGTTCTCTTATTTGTTCATGATTGTAGCCATGTATAGGAGTGTAGATGGTTCATTACCTTTGTAACTGCCATCATTGTGACCAGATCTACCTGGAGTTCATTACCTTTGTAACTGCCATGATTGTGACCAGATCTATCTGGAGTTCATTACCTTTGTAACTGCCATGATTGTGACCAGATCTACCTGGAGTTCATTACCTTTGTAACTGCCATGATTGTGACCAGATCTACCTGGAGTTCATTACCTTTGTAACTGCCATGATTGTGACCAGATCTACCTGGAGTTCATTACCTTTGTAACTGCCATCATTGTGACCAGATCTACGTGGAGTTCATTACCTTTGTAACTGCCATGATTGTGACCAGATCTACCTGGAGTTCATTACCTTTGTAACTGCCATCATTGTGACCAGATCTACCTGGAGTTCATTACCTTTGTAACTGCCATCATTGTGACCAGATCTACCTGGAGTTCATTACCTTTGTAACTGCCATGATTGTGACCAGATCTACCTGAGTTCATTACCTTTGTAACTGCCATGATTGTGACCAGATCTACCTGGAGTTCATTACCTTTGTAACTGCCATCATTGTGACCAGATCTACCTGGAGTTCATTACCTTTGTAACTGCCATCATTGTGACCAGATCTACCTGGAGTTCATTACCTTTAAAACTGCCATCATTGTGACCAGATCTACCTGGAGTTCATTACCTTTAAAACTGCCATCATTGTGACCAGATCTACCTGGAGTTCATTACCTTTAAAACTGCCATGTGTTACAAAAAAACGCGATATCTAATAATGATAGAGATCTCCAGTGAATACTAGAAAGGTCTGCCCTTCTAGCATCCAGCCTGTTACTGGGTTTTTGTAACAAGTAGTCAGTATCCTGGTCCAATTATCCATTAGAATTTAGTAAGATTCAATAGTACTTCAGGATCACAACTGGTAGCCTACTAACTAAAGAAATTAAAATTTAATAAGATTATTATTAACAATAAAGTTGTCTAGGCATATATTATCA